CGGCCGTCCTCCTACCCCCCCCACCCCCCCCCCCCCCCTCCCCCCCCCCCCCCCCCCCCCCCCCCCTCCCCGGGTCTAATAACCTGTCGAAGCTGTGCTGTGTTGGACAGGGGTTAAACCTACACCCAAAAGTGTGAAGCCTGTGCCAAAGGAACCTGAGAGACCTGTTGTGCCCGCACCGGTGGTGCTAAGTGCTCCAGTGGACCCATTTCAAGAGCAGCTTTGCAAAAACAAAGGGTGCGGGAGAAAGTTCCGAGAGATGGATAATCATGACACTGCTTGCCATTATCATCCAGGGCCTGCAATTTTTCACGACAGGCTCAGAAAGGTCAGACATCTCATCGTCCTCCTCATTCATTTACCCACCTGCTCTATTGCCGTCAAGGCCTGTCAAGCCGTGGGTAATGCTCTGTGTGGTGAGGTGATGTTCAAACTTGAAGTGCCATTATGTGGTTGCTGATGCTTTGTGCCATATCCATCCTACCGTCTTCACCTGAATAAAATGTACGATCACGTTAGCTGCACTTGGGGCAACTTTCAGTCCAGATGCAGCGTATGTTCTATTCGGGTGAAGACGGGTTCGAAATCAATGCAGAGATGAGGGGCAGGACAGCAAAAAGAGAGAAGTGTAAGAAAAAAAGAGCACGTTGAAGGGTGGGACAGAAAAAGAGGGAGAAGTGCAAGAAAAAAGTACCTGGATTGCACCACATTGATGAAGTTTAGGACAGAAAAGCAGAGAGAGAAAGAAGCGTGAAAAAAAGAAGATAAACAGAACCACATACTCTACATAGACACTCTGATTGTCAGCTCTCTGTCATCTCGCTGCCATACTATCACCCTCATCACCCTCGTTATCTCTCCCTCCTCTCTTGTTGCTCAGCCATAACAAAAGAATAGATGACGTCCTGGAGATGACTACCTAGCTCCACCTCCTCCTGTTCTCCCTCCTGCTACCGTCTTCACCCGAAAAGAACGCCCGGTCATTATCACTGCATCTGGACCGAAAGTTGTGCCAAATACAGCTATAATGACTGGGCGTTCTATTAGGGTGAAGACGGTAGCACTTCTATAGCCGGTGATTCATCAACGCCACTCAAAGGAACCCCAACAGGGTCTTCATGAAGCAGTGCCACGCTCTGGAGTGAGAAATGGAAGTCTGCCATGGCCAAAGGCAAGTTGTTCAGGGTTGCATACCTGCCGACAGCCGACCAGTAGGGCCGACCAGTCAGCGGTCTGCCGACCAGTCAGAAAACAGCGATCCACTGATATTTTTTCAAATACGAGTTAAGGACTGTACTGCGCTTGTTGAGAACAGGCCAAATCCGCTGAGAAACTTTTGGGGATGGGGGGGGGTATGAGGGGT